CATAAAGTGTTGTCGCAGCTTGCCTGTAAAGAGAGCGGATGCAGCTCGGAGACAGATGGCTGGCTAGTTAGCTAGGTCGCTTGTGTTTGTCCTGAGCGATGGAGAGAGAGAGAGAGAGAGAGAGGAGGGGGGACCATTAGACCCAGCGCTGCCGCTGGCCACCAGCCCGCTGTCTGGCTTATTTTCTGTAACCAGTGTAGCATTAAAGCATGGCAGAATTAACAAGCTAGTCAGCTAAGTGGTGTACAGCTGGCTGGTTGCTACCATACTAATTCCAACATGATTTAATGCTGCACTGGTTACAGAAAATAAGCAATAAGTTGGTGAAGTTTAAACAAGTGTACAAGGGTTGCAATGGTAACGGTACACATAAAAATGGCCGCCGCTACCGACCGTCTGGCTGCATTGATTCAAAAGGTGATATCCATATCTGCTCCTATTCTATTTCAATGGCAGAACCTCAGCTCAAGTCTGCAAAACACATTATCTGCTTCGCACCCAGTTTGCAATTCAACACCCTTCAAACACATTGTCAACATAAGGCATGGGATTCTGAATCAAAGTCACATGTTTCCCATTGCAGCATGTAACTGGTTCAGTCACAATCAGACTTTATGAATGGTGTGTGGCATTTCTTTTTTAAATAAATCATTGTATAGTTTTGAAGAAATGTGTTTCATTTTGCAAAACAACTGAGGTTTTCTGCTTGTGTGTGTGTGGTTGTGTGAATTGTGTGTGCTATGACAAAATTAGTTTTTAAAATCACTCTTTTAGTGTAAAAAAGTAAAGAAAGACTTGAATAAATGAGTGGAGGTACAGAATGAATGCCGATCGTGAGCATCATGTTAGGCAGCACTCTCCACACAGGGTCACCAACACCTTTCCACCACCCCTGGACACTGTATATATAAACATCAAAGCAATAAAGACAACTCCACTGACACCCTGTCAGTCTATACCAGATACTCCAGCTACTATATGTGAGTACATTCTATTGGTTTAATCCCAAATTCATTATACTATTCCTCTTGTGTTATTGCATATGGAACAATATTAAGTATTAGATTCAAAGTCAAAGATTTGTTTTGTCCCATGCTTATGCAATATGCACAGTGAAAAGCAGCTTGACATACTGTTTAGGTTGTGCTAAAACAGCTGTTTGGATAAGAACACAAAGACAAAAGACAAAATATGACATGAAAAGGACATGACCTAAACATACCTTCAATGAGGTTTCATGGAGAATAAGGCTAAATAAAACCAATATTTCATCAGAAATGATACGTGACTTAGATTATAATTCAGTGTCACTACCTCCTCATATAGAACTTAACATGTCCAGCTTTACTGATCGGACATCATTTCTACCATGAGACTGATGCTCTGCATTGAATTGTGTCAGATGAGGGGACATGAGGAGCTGGAGCAACTAAAGCTGAAATATTTCAAACAAATTGCAGCAGTAATATGATTCCCTGCAATGGAATGATCAGCACACCGCGGTGTCAATGTGGTTTGAGAGGAAAAGAAGAAAGAATAATAAACTCTATTACTTTCTATTCTACCAACTGCAGGCTGATCTCATCCAGCATTTTTAGCAATACCTACGAAAAATAATGCGCCGTAATTCATAGATATCCCACTAAATAGTTTTGCTTGTTATCCATGTAATCATGAACGAGGAAGTATGAAGACCAGTAAAGCACACAGGGGGAGTGGAAGTGGAGGTGGATGAGTCCAATCAACAGAGATCTTTCAGACATTCCCCATGTGGAACAAGAAGTCAATGTTGATGTTTTTGTCATGTAACTTGCTTACTTCTTAAGTAACCTAGTGTCTGTGGGTATCTTAACCCAAATAGTTTCCTAAACCTAACGAAGTAGGTTGGTTGCCCAAACCCGACTGAGTTTCCTGTGAAGACAGATGTTTATTTTGAATAGATCATATGAACGTAATGAGCGTAAATTGACGAACCAATGATGTTGGTGTGTTTGGACAATTAAAAACTTAATTGAGAAAAAAAGAAAGATGTCCGTCCGGCTCTCGTGGACTTTGCCTTACTTTGCAGTCTTTGTATGTTTGTGTATCAGGTTGTTTTAGGGTGAGAAGCCAGTAGGAGGAAAACATCCACTCAAGTGTCCTTGAGCAAGGCACCAACCCCGATGATGTGTACAATATCTGACCTCTGATGCGAGGCTTTCCTTACAGGGATTGGATACTGTACTTTGTCATTGTGTTTCTTTTCTATAGCTCACACTTATTTGTTGTGTTAGTGTTGATCTGTATACAATTCACCGTCTCCTCACCTACCACCACCATTCTCTCCTCTGTGTCTCATCATAATTTATCCACTTTGTTGGTACAGCGGGTGCTACATCAAAGCACAGCGGGGAGACCGACAAAAGGAAATGGTAGTTTCTATCCATATGGTGTCCAGTAACACACACACACAAGCAGCGAGGGAGAGAAGAGATCTATCAGCTTATCTTTGGCCGACTGTAGCGGTCGCCCACATAAATGTCCGCTTGGCTCTGCTCTGATCACATAATTGCTGTGTGCACACCTCTCTCCCACACACACACACACATACACACACGCAAAAGGATAGCACACATTCAGTGAGCATACACTGAAGCACACTTAGTTTTCACACACACACACACACACACACACTTAAAGCCTGGACATGTACAGCGCCCACACATACACACACACACTGGCAGTGACTGTTCAATATGACATGAAGCGGAGCATTCACACATGCAGGTATGCCTGCCAGGGTACGCGCACATCGACACAGCAAAACAGCAAACAAAACCTCCCACTGGCTCACCCACACAGTCAGCACGCCGAGTGTGAAGGAGATATGACGGAAGAGAGAGTAAAAGATGAGACCGAGCGAGGAGCGCAGTGAACGCTCTGAAACCTGAGCTTCACAAAAGACGGATTTACCCCGACACAATGCAACAAATTGTGTCGTGTTCATCGCCTTTTGTCTATTCGTCTGATTAAAGATGAATCACCGTTTTATTTCCGTTGGAAGTTTTGCATCATAATACGTACGGTGAGGATGTGTGTGGGTGTTGGGATGGCCTGGAAGACATTTTTGGAAAGTTCCTCTCAACCACATTGCTAAATCTCTGCCAGCTGCAGGGGCTTTTGTTGTGCAGATGAGCCTGACCTTTGAACTCCTTTGACTACTTCTATCTTACATAAGATGTCTTACTATTGCCAGTACAAAAAAATTATCTGATATGTTACTTTTTGCCTTTTTCATCTTATGCAATAAAGGCCCGTTTAAATGATCCGTCTTTAAAATGAAATATTCACAACTACATGAATAACACACACGAAGAAAAATACATCGTCAGGTGTTATTTATCAAAGTTACAGCATGACTTTTTAGGAATGTGCCTATTCACTTTCCTGCCAGTTAGATGAGAAGATTGATACCACTTTCATGTCTGTTCAGCAAAGATGTAAACAAGTCAGTCTAACTAAACTCACCTTAAGAGCTCTAAATTAAACTCACTAACTAACACATTCATTATTAAATCTGTGCAAAACCCAAAGTTGAAAAACCAAAACTTCTCTGTTTTAAAGGCGGTTATGTGCTGGACTATTTATTTGTTGGGAATGTTAACTTCACAGGTTGCTCAACTTTTCCAGGCCCCCAAAAAATGTTTGATCTATATCTTTTGATCAGAGACACACTAACCTTTTAAACTGCTTCTAGTCTTTATGCTAAGCTAAGCTAGCTGGCTGCTGCCAGTAGCTTCATATTTAGAGCACAGACTGACAATCTCTAACTCTTGCCACAAGCTACATTTTTCCCTTAAGAATAAAAAACTAGTGTCCAAGATTCTGATTCAAATGTTTCTAAATCCTGATTGGTGGAGTATCTGACACCCCGCCCACCTCAAAGCAGTCAGAAGAGCACAGAGAGAAACTGTACTAACCGGTGTTCCAATACGATCCCATCTTTCAGAGCAACAAGCTGATTTAGAAAATAACGTTGTTAGGCCCGTTAAAGCTCAGCCCTTAACTTTTATATTTTTAACAAAATGCTGAAGCCCTGTGATGTCATTCTCCGACGCTGCGTGTGCAATTACGTAAAGGATCGCGAAGGGATTGTTATTCCCTCGATTAAACCGCCAGGACACACACTGTCACTTACAAGAAAGCCAAATAGTGCGACAGGATTACATTACAGCGGAATCAATTCTAACTGGATTGTTATAATTAGATGACCTGAGTTTGCTAAAAAGTCGGTAAGTAATTTTCTGTGTTTTTATCACTTTCAGTACTTGGCAGGGCCGCATGGCAATACGATTACAAATGCTCTTGGTAATATCTATAAATACAGAACCTCTACTTTCGCTGTAAACAGAGCTAGAAGTAGTGTACAGTAGCATGGCAAACATCGATAGCCCAGTCAAACTCTCTATGTCAAGCCGATCGGTGCGACACAACAAATCGATCCCGAATAAAAGACCATCAGCAGATTTGTCATCATATTTCTGCCGATACACAAATGAGCACAACAGCCATCAGCAGATCGTTACGCACCCTCGGCAGAAACAGTAGAGGAGGGGGACACAGCTGTGTGAGCTCTGAGGTAGAGGTTGGAGGGACCAGTTAGAGGGTGATTGTGAAGAAGAAAGAGACGGATGGAGCGAAGTAGAGGTACGCAGCCATGCATCAAGGTAAGAGATATCCATGCATCAGATAGGACAAGAGAGCAGTTAGGAAGGAAGAGAGCGAGCTAATTCAATGGCAATAATAGAGAGGAGGATGAGGAAAGACAAGAGGTATAGCATCATCGTTGTTTTCAAGAGGAGTCTGAAGAGTGTTTAGCAATGAAAGTGCATGACGGTGAAACAAAAAAAATACACAAAGAGAATATCAGTGAAAAAAGACAAACCCTGGAAACTTTCAAGAGGGGGAAAAGCTCGTTGAAGTGCGCCTATAGACAACAAAACAGAGGCGGTTCATCCTACCTGAGTTCCTCTTGGAGATGTACTTGACGCCGTCACAGGCTCCCGAGGCGAGGAGGAGGAGGAGGAGGAAGAGGAGGGATAAAGCCTTCATCTCTCTAGTCTCCACTGGCACCTTTAGACATCAGGACACAGTGGGGACAACGTGTTAGGGATAACACTGTAGGTACTATGCTGATTGTCATATATACAGTATATATAAGTATAGTATATACATTGACACCAAGCATTACAGTGTGTTGTGTTCACAAGATTGTAATGAGAATCGGAGAGGCTACAACTCCTGTTTCTTGGGGAAGGGATGCAAACAGCAATGTCCACTGTCAAGTCAACCACTTTTTACCAAAGTTGCCAATTCTCCAGCACTTGAGCACCCGTGGGCAATGGTGAGCACCCACAGGCAAATCCTACCGTGAGGTGACCATGTCAGGAATATGGGCCCTTCAAGAGTTTAAACTGTGCTCAAATGTTAACGGACAAATCACGAGTGAGGCCACTGACATACTGACTTACTGGGCACCTACACCACGCCAATGTATCCATTGGTTGGTGCAGCCCAGCCTAGGTGTTTCTGCTCTATTTTACCAGAGTGCATGTTAGCCAGGAATTATTTAAATACCACGAGGAAGAGGAGTCAAAGAGTGCTTTTATTTTGGAGCTACCTATGTAAGGCTACTTACGGCGCAATAAATAAAGGGAGGATGTGCTCTTTGGTTGCGATCGGCCTGACAGAACTTTTTGGATGCGCCCGAATATGTAATAAAATATTTTCAAGTAGAAAGCATTCGTTTTTGTTCTTTTCAGTAATCGCAGAATTGTAATTCGCACCCAAACAGTAGGCTGCCATGACACCCTCACTGCATTCACCCCAGGGAATGGATCCAATCATCCTCATGTTCTATGATCATGGGCCAGCTGGTGAGCCTTTCAGCAGGTGCTTACCAGATTAAACTGCAGGTGTTGCACCCCTAATGATATGTTGAAACCAGTGAATTTAATGTTTTGTTTCAGTCTTTTTTTGGATTTGACACGTTTGTCAAATGGATGTTAAAATGTCCGTGTGTATCTCTGAGTGTTCATAAGCTACAACAAAAAAAACAATAGGGCAGTCCCAAATCGTGTTGGTTGTGGGCCGATATGCTGTAAAAGAAGTGAAAAACAAAACACTTTATTACAACTATGGCAGCAAGAACAGCACAAAATAAAAGGCATTAATATTGATCCGAAGCACAGGTTTGGTGAGGTTATGAAAACATCAATTTCTTTTTTTTCAACTGATTGAATTTAAAATACAGAAACTAAATTAGATTTGACCACAAGCTGCGAATACAAAGGCTGCAGAAGCTTTGGGGCAGACACACACACACACACACACACAAACAAACTGTCCCTGAGCCAGCCATGTGAAATCACATTGATAGAACACAATCAGATTTTCTCATGCTTTCTGTATACAAACACACACACACACACACACACACACACACACACACACACACACACAGTTAACCAGGGAGCGATCGAAGTTGAAGATTAGCCATGCCAACAGTCACTTCAGTGTTTTTCATACATGTAACAATAAAGGGAACTTAAACTCCAGTTTGACTGCTGACTGAAATCACATTTGATTCACATGAACAGCGTGGTAGCTGATGATAGAACCTAGTAGGTTGCAGATTGGGTGCCACAGTTATTCGCCTTTGAATCTGGGCCTGGAGTTGGCGTCTAAAACTGGGACCAAATTGATGCAAAGAACAAAGCCGAGGGAGTGATAATGTGATAAAGAATACTGTACGATGTTGCCACTACTAGATGTAAATTACTCATCCGTGCTGGCTTGCCAGCACTTGTAATTTAAAATACAGCTCTGACTTTAGGATTCAAGAGCGCACAGACTTTTTACCCATACAAGTATGTAGTGTGTCTCGCCGTCATCTTGGTAGCATCACAGGTTCAGTTCAAATCATCATTATAATAATGATAATTACAATACTACAGTCCAATAATCACTTCTGATAGGTTGAAAGCCATAGCACACCAACACTCACATCAAGACTTCTCTCTTTTCTCAGATCCTTCAAAGTTGGCCAAGCACAGGTTGGTCCTAGTAAGCCATGTGTGCACACAACCAGGAGCATGCTAATCGAAGCAGCTAAATGGAATGAATGGTAAAGATCAGTGGATTAAACTAACCGCATAGAGAGTTTGGGTGATGTGTTTTTCATCACATTGTATTCAGGAGTTCTTCAAACCATTTCTGTGCCGTGTAAAGGAAGTCTTAAGAGACAAAAAAGATTACATTAAAGAGAAAAACAATTTAAAAAGTGTTTCTTTGTTTTGCTTGCCAAAGGACTGACGATACAAAGCATGACATTTCAGGACTTTTTGGGGCTACGCACACACACCGCAAAACAGCCACATGGGGACCAACCAAACTCAGCAGGACCTGTAATCCGCGCTGCCTTTGTTTTTGTTTTGCCTCCTCCTGGCCTCAGAGGCTGCAGACAGTCTCCAGTCATCAGAGGAGGAAAACAGGTTGTGCTGGGTCATGTTATACTGTAGCAGAGGAAGCTAAATTGAGCTGTTGGCTTCAGGTAAAGACAGTGAGGCAGGCACTCTGACAAGCACGGCTGGGCGAAAATCAAAAGTGTGAGTCAGTCATACGTGGGAAGTATTTACCGTGTCCTTTTGGAAAAGTCAAAACATAAACTGAAAGCGGAACGCCAATGGAGTTTAGCATCAAGACCTTATATTTTTTTGAGACGTAAACACCTAGAAATAGCAATAGGATACTTCCGTCAAACCTTGTGAGGAAATGTATATTTTCCCTCGCCTCCTCCACAAGACGGCCCGGGTCAGCTACAAAACAGACGCCATAGAGCTGGTAGGGATTCAGCGTCTTGCTAAAGAAAACTCTCAGAGTGAAGACACATTTTGTGTGACCTCAGAGCGTGACATGAAATGCAAAGATTATATATAAATCATTAGCAGTCCATTTCATCGCTTTCACTTTCCATTGTCCACATTTAATACACAACTCTGCTGCTGCTCCGTCAAACTAAGCTTCGCCCAAGAAGGGTCTGTCAGATTAGGAGTCACAGCTTCCAATGCTAGTGCAACACATAAGGTTATCTGCCTCATCTGCTATCAGGTGAAGTCGGTTAAGTTAAATCCCATCATGAAAAAAAATAATCGCTTTTGAAATGATTTTGTCCTGTTCCCTGTGCTGCCCTTAATCAATGCCGGCCGACCACAACTTGCTGCGATGGCGATGATGATGAAGTTGTTTTACCAGTAAGCCTCACTGACCACACTAGACACAGGCAATACAAAGACAAATGGATTTCCAGCTCCGTAAATACCTCACCGTACCTTTCGGTCAATTTGGCCATTAAAATAGGAAAATATGATCTGATCATAAAGCCCTGGGTAGCCCTTCACTAAAATGATTACCTTCTCCATATATTTACCGTAGACTGATATTTAGGGAACAAAGTGCAGCCGGCACAGCCTGAAAAACAGGCGCTTGGGAATGCTTGCGATGGTTTTGCTCTGTTTTTCTCTAATTTTTTTCTCGTTTTTGAGACACATATCCATTGACAACTGTAGATTTGAGGGTGAAGAAAAACAACATGTGAATGGTCCCTAAGAAGGGATCTGACCAACAACCAGAACTGGCTACCAAAACTAATATTAAAGCTTAATTTGATGGTTTAATGGTTTTATAGAAAACACCACATCTTCAATTCAGGAGTGCTCAGACAGCAGCAGCTTTGTTATGTTTCCCCAAACCTTCAGAAAAATATAATGAAAGACTAAATCCCAAACAGTAGGGCACAAGACATGTTAAAAACACACACTACAAAAGAGCTGGATACTTTTACTGCACACGCACACACGCACACAAGCAGGCACATAGGGCGGCATGGCATTAAAGAGAAAGAACAGGGTATGAGGTTTTTTTATCCACTTTCTGAGCCTTTTAGTCTGAAACACAGCTGGGCTTAATGCAACTGCTAAAGGCTGTGTATATTGTGTGTGTGTGTGTGTGTGTGTGTGTGTGTGTGTGTGTATCCTTGTACTCAGTAGCCTACAGTTATGGTTTGGCCCAAAAGCAAAGGGGTTCATGTGGAAGGGTTTGTGATACGTGTCCAAACCACAAGCATGTATATTAGCATTATGCGGTCAAGATATGATATAAAGATAGTTATGATATTAAGCCACTAACTAGTCCAAATAGTGAAATAAAAAGGCAAAAGTAGTGACACAGCTTTGCTATGCATCCAGGTTTATTTTCACTGAGCAAGTTGTTTAAAGTGTTTGACCAAAATAGCAGCTTAGCAACTGTAACTAGGTAGGCCTACAGCAGGTGCCAAAATGTTGCACTTTGTGCTTTTAGCCTTTCAAAAAAACAAAAACACAAAAGCTAAATTATGAGAAGTTAATTTCAAAGTGTGTTTGTCTGCTCTTACATGATCTGTAAGAATTAGCATGCCTGGCTAACTAGCCCACTACGTAGCCTGTAGTGCAGCAATTACTTCGCTTAACTTCCGTGGCTTCAGAGCACATCACGAGTGCTAATGAGCTAATGAGCTAATGAGCTAGCTACAGCTGCTAAAATACTGTGGCCAGACTTTACGGTTTCTCAGTGGTTGCCATGGTTTTAATCTAAATGTGAAACCCAACAGATATCTGAAACAAAAAATGCTACCAATCACTACCACAATGTCCTGGTTTTCGGTTCATTTTTATGACAATATAATTAAAAATAATACACTCATTTTCAGAGCTTACATAGATGTTTATCATGTTTTATCTCAATCATTATCACCTAACCCAGTATATAAACAGAAACAACACACCACAAATCAAAACTGATTTGTCTATACGTGTGTCAATCAATCAATGTGTTGTTATCCAGGCTGTTGCTATGATGCTTGCAGCTCTGACTGACAGAATCTGTCAGTATACGCTAACGGTCAGCTGTCACACCGACGAGAGAGTTGGTCTGAGCTCTCGGAGTCTTACTCCTTTCCTTTGTTATATACCTGTCACCGAAAAACGCTTTGTTTTGCACACACTACAAGAGTCCATTTACAGTTGCGCGCGGTGGAA